TGTCCCATTGTCCCCTCCCTGTCCCATTGTCCCCATCCTGTCCCATTGTCCCCTCCCTGTCCCATTGTCCCCATCCTGTCCCATTGTCCCCTTCCTGTCCTATTGTCCCCGTCCTGTCCCACTGTCCCCACCCTGTCCCACTGTCCCAGCCCTGTCCCATTGTCCCCGTCCTGTCCCACTGTCCCAGCCCTGTCCCATTGTCCCCGTCCTGTCCCACTGTCCCAGCCCTGTCCCATAGGTTCTGCCCCACATCCAGCTGCCCCTCCCTGCCCCATTGTCCCCTCCTTGTCCCATTGTCCCCTCCTTGTCCCATTGTCCCCATCCTGTCCCATTGTCCCCACCCTGTCCCATTGTCCCCATCCTGTCCCATTGTCCCCTCCCTGCCCCATTGTCCCCTCCCTGTCCCTTTGTCCCCATCCTGTCCCATAGGTTCTGCCCCACATCCAGCTACCCCTCCCTCTTCCATTGTCCCCTCCCTGCCCCATTGTCCCCTCCCTGTCCCTTTGTCCCCATCCTGTCCCATAGGTTCTGCCCCACATCCATCTGCCCCACCCTGTCCCATTGTCTCCATCCTGTCCCATAGGTTCTGCCCCACATTGAGCTGACCCACCCTGTCCCATTGTCCCCATCCTGTCCCATAGGTTCTGCCCCACATCCATCTGCCCCACCCTGTCCCATTGTCCCCATCCTGTCCCATAGGTTCTGCCCCACATTGAGCTGCCCCTTCCTCTTCCATTGTCCCGTCCCTGTCCCCCTGCCCCCTCCCCGCCCCGTTGTCCCCGCCGTGCCCCCCGCCGTGCCCCACTGCCCCCGTCCCTTCCTCAGGAGATGTTCGACATCGTGCTGGACGAGAACCAGCTGGAGGAGGCCTGCGAGCACCTGGCCGAGTACCTGGAGGCGTACTGGAAGGCCACGCACCCGGCCAGCAGCACGCCGCCCAACCCGCTGCTGAGCCGCACCATGGCCACGGCGGCACTGGCCGCCAGCCCCGCGCCCGTCTCCAACCTCCAGGTACAGGTGCTGACCTCGCTGCGCAGGAACCTCGGCCTCTGGGGCCGCCAGGCCAGCCCCGGCCCACCCGCGGCCCTGCAGGAGCACGCGCTCTGAGGGGACGGCGGGGACAGCGGGGATGCCGGGGACGCCGGGACAGCGGGAACGTCAGGGACATTGGGGACAGCGGGAATGCCGGGACATCAGGGACATTGGGGACAGCGGGAATGCCGGGACAGCGGGGACATTGGGGACAGTGGGGACATCAGGAATGCCAGGACACTGGAGACATCAGGAACACTGGGGACAGTGGGGACATTGGGGATGCTGGGGACGCCGGGACAGCGGGAACGTCAGGGACATTGGAGATGGCGGGAATGCCGGGACACCAGGGACATTGGGGACACCAGCGATGCCAGGACACCGGCAACATTGGGGACATCGGGAACGCCGGGACAGCGGGGACATTGGGGACAGTGGGGACATTGGGGATGCCGGGAACACCGGGACAGCGGGAACATCAGGGACATTGGAGACAGCGGGAACGCCGGGACACCAGGGACATTGGGGACAGCGGGAATGCCAGGACACTGGAGACATCAGGGACACTGGGGACAGCAGGGACATTGGGGACACCAGGGATGCCAGGACACCGGCGACATTGGGGACATCGGGAACGCCGGGACAGCGGGGACATTGGGGACAGTGGGGACATTGGGGATGCCGGGAACGCCGGGACAGCGGGAACATCAGGGACATTGGAGACGGCGGGAATGCCGGGACATCAGGGACATTGGGGACACCAGGGACATTGGGGACAGCGGGAATGCCAGGACACTGGAGACATCAGGGACACTGGGGACAGTGGGGACATTGGGGATGCCAGGGATGCTGGGACAGCGGGAACGTCAGGGACATTGGAGACAGTGGGAATGCCAGGACAGCGGGGACATTGGGGACAGCAGCAACACCGGGACAGCGGGGACACTGGGGACATTGGGGACAGCAGGAATGCCGGGACACTGGAAACATCAGGAACACTGGGGACAGCGGGGACATTGGGGACAGCGGGGACATTGGGGATGCCGGGGACGCTGGGACAGTGGGAACGTCAGGGACACTGGAGACAGCAAGAACGCAGGGACAGCGGGGACACCAGGGACATTGGGGACACTGGAGACAGCGGGGACACCGGGACAGTGGGAACATTGGGAACAGCAGGGACATTGGGGACATCGGGGACAGCGGGAATGCCGGGACAGTGGAGACATCAGGAACACTGGAGACAGCAGGAATGCCGGGACATCAGGGACACCAGGGATGCCAGGACACTGGGGACATTGGGGACATCAGGAACGCCGGGACAGCGGGGACATGAGGGACATTGGGGACGTCAGGACACTGGGGACATGAGGGACATTGGGGTCATTTGGGACACCAGGCCACTGGAGACATCAGGGATACCAGGGACATTGGGGACAGCGGGGACATCAGGACACTGGGACCATGAGGGACACCAGGGACATTGGGGACATCAGGGACACTGGGGACACCAGGGACATTGGGGACACCCCCCCAGCCCTCGGGAGATCCCTGGGGTCAGGGTCACCCCACAGGACTGTGACACTCCCCAGGTGTGACATTGTCCCCAAGGTCGCCTGTCCTGGGGTCAGGGTCACCCCACAGGACTGTGACATTCCCCAGGTGTGACATTGTCCCCAAGGTCACCTGTCCTGGGCTCAGGGTCACCCCAGGGGACCGTGGTCCCGAGGTTTGGTGTCACCTGCTCTGGGGACACTGGGATTAGGGCCACCCATGGGGTTGGGGTCACCATGGGGGAACCAGAGCCCCCCAGGAGTGGGGGACCGGGGTCACCCCAGGGACCTGCTCCTGTCCCTGGATCAGGGTCACCCCAGGGACCTGCTCCTGTCCCTGCCGGCGCCGCATTTGGGGTCCCCCGGGAATCTGGGGCTGCCCAGGGGATTGGGGACCCCCTTCAGGAGCCACCCTGGGGTCCCCAGGGGATTGGGGACCCCCTTCAGGAGCCACCCTGGGGTCCCCAGGGGATT